CCGTTGCTCCGCTCCGTTCCCCCGTGGTGGCGCAAAGCTGTTTCGCTCCGTTGCTCCGTTGCTCCGCTCCGTTGCTCCGCTCTGTTGCTCCGTTGCTCCGTTGCTCCGTTCCCCCGTGGTGGCGCAAAGCTGTTTCGCTCCGTTGCTCCGTTGCTCCGCTCCGTTCCCCCGTTGTTCCGCAAAGCTGTTTCGCTCCGTTGCTCCGTTGCTCCGCTCCGTTCCCCCGTTGTTCCGCAAAGCTGTTTCGCTCCGTTGCTCCGTTGCTCCGCTCCGTTGCTCCGCTCTGTTGCTCCGTTGCTCTGCTCCGTTCCCCCGTGGTGGCGCAAAGCTGTTTCGCTCCGTTGCTCCGTTGCTCCGCTCCGTTGCTCCGTTGCTCCGTTGCTCCGCTCCGTTCCCCCGCTGTTCCGCAAAGCTGTTCTGCTCCGTTGCTCCGTTGCTCTGTTGCTCCGTTGCTGCGCTGCGTTGCCCCGCTCCGTTGCTCCGTTGCTTCGCTCGATTGGCCGTTTCTCCTAGAGCGAGTTTGGTCGTTTTAAGAGCTGAGTTCCCGATCGCTAACTGACTCCCGAGTACTTCAGGTAGCATGAGCAGCCTAAATGTCATGTTTATGAGGGCAAACCTCACTTTAAAGAAAGGTAGGTTGCCTCCTTTGCTTGAAGGCGAAAACCTGATGGCAGCCAAGCTTGCTAAGCAATCGTTTTGAGCGACACTCAGCTAACCGGATTTGCGCGAGAAAGCCGGAAAACCGAGAAAACCAAGAAAACTGGAAAACAGAGAAAACCGATAAAACCGAGAAAGCCGTGAAAACAGAAGGAACCTAGAAGACCGAGAAAGCCCAAAGAACCCAGAAAATCGATGTTTGTGCGGTTTTCGCGTTTTCGCGGTGTTCGCGTTTTCACGGTTTTCGCGGTTTTCGTGGTTTTCGCGGTTTTCGCGTTTTGGCGGTTTTGGGGGCTTTCGCGGTGTTCGCGTTTTCGTGGTTTTCGCAGGTGTTCGCTGCGTTTTTGTTGTTAATAATATGTTTCAATCACTTGTTTTGAGCCCCAGCAGTCTCAGAGATAACATAGATAGATCGATAGGTACATAGGGCAAGATAGGATAGGACACGGTAAGCTAGGCCAACGTGGGGTAAGACAGGATAAGCTGGGATCATGTCTGATAAGATAGGATACGACGGGAAAATACAGGATAAGATAGGCTCAGATAAGATAAGGCAGGACAATTTGTGATAAGATCAGATAAGGCAGCTAGGATAGATAAGGTAGATAGCACACATATATATATTTGTGATAGATATGATAGACAAGGTAGATAAGGCATGTAAGGTAGATCAGGTAGATAAGACAGGACAAATAGATAAGATAGACGCGATGAGATAAAGAGGACAAGCAGGAAAGATAGGGTAGATATGGTAGTTAGGAGAAAATCAGATAGATAGGATAGATAGATGATAGATAAACAGATAGACACATAGGATAAGATAGGCTACGGTCGGATAAGATAGGACACGGCACGGCAAGATAGGCTAACATGGGGTAAGGTAGGACAAGATGGGATAAGGCAGAGTAAGATAGCATACGGTAATATAAGATAGGTTAAGGTAGGCCAAGACAGGATAATGTAAAGGTAGGTAAGGTCGACAAGGTAGAGAAGATAAATAGGATAGACATGATAGACAAGATAGATCAGGCAGGTAAGAGATAAGATAGATCAGATAGGTAGGATAGAAACGATTCATAAGCTACATGCGATGAGATAGATAGGAAAGGTGGGACATACAGGGGAGACAGGATAGATAGGTAGATAGATTGATAGATACATAGGAAAAGATTGGGTAAGATAAGGTAAGATATGTCAAGATAGGGTAAGGCAGGATAAGGTAGGATAATATGGGGTAAGATAGGATGCGAGGGCTGCCATGGGATAAGATAGGACAAAGCAGGAAAGATAACTTAAGATAGGGTAAGACACGGTAACATATGATAAGACAAGACAAGGTAGGTAATGTCGATAAGGTAGATATGATATGATAGATAAGAGCGATAAGACTTACATATACGATGAGATAGATAGGAACGATAGGATAGATAGGATAGCTGGGTAGGCTGGTAGATTGATAGATAGGCACATAGGATGAGATAGGTTAAGATAGGGACATGCAGAATAAGACATGATAAGACAGGATAACATGGGATAAGATAGAATAAGAGAGGAGAAGACGGGGTAAGATAGGATAATATAGGATTATTTTGGGTAAGGTAGGATGAGATAGGATAAGGTCGGGTAAGATAGGGTAAGATAGGATAAGATGGGGCAAGACAGGATTGACTGATACATAGATGTATAGATAGATGTATTATAGATAAATAATTCGATTTATACAAAGGATACGATAGGCTAAGATAGGATAAGACACGGCAAGATAGGCCAACATGGGGTATATAGGACAAGATAGGATACTACAGGATATTATAGGATAAGATAGGACAATACAGGATACGATAGGAAAGACAGGATAAGACAGGATAATGTATAATAAGACAAGATTTGGTAGGTAAGGTAGATAAGGTAGGTAGTATAGATATGATCGATATGATAGACAGGGCAGATAAGACACAACAGATAGACCAGATAGGTAATATGGACAACATAGATAGGCTTGATACGACAAGACAAAAAGGACAGACAGGAAAGATAGGACAGATATGATATCTTGATAGATAGCTATGTAGATAGATAGATAGACACATGGAAGAAGATAGGATACGATAGGAGAAGATGGGAGAAGGTAGGATAAGACAGGATTGGACAGCATACGGCAGGATATGGTAGGATAATCGCAACATCGGAACGGCGCAACGGCGCGGCAGCGCAACAGCGCAACAGCAGAACGTCGCGGCAGCGCAACGGCGGAGCGCAGCAGTGCAGCGGCGCAACAGCGCAACGGCGTAACAGCGCAATGGCGCAAATGCGCCAAGGCGCGACAGCGTAACAGCGCAATGGCGCAACAAAACGGCGCAACGGCGCAGCGGCGCAGCGGTGCAGCGGCGCAGCCGCGCAACGGCGTAACAGCGCAGCGGTGCAAACGCGCAACGGCGCAACAGCGCAGCGGCGCAACGGCGCAGCGGCGCAACGGCGTAGCGGCGCAACAGCGCAACGGCGCAACGGCGCAGCGGTGCAGCGGCGCAAGGGCGCAGCGGCGCAAGGGCGCAGCGGCGCAACGGCGCAGCAGCGCGACGGCGCAAGAGCGCAACCGCGAACGGCGCAGCGGCGCGACGGCGCAGCGGCTCAGCGGCGCAACGGCGCAGCGGTGCAGCGACGCAACGGCGCAACAGCGGAACGGCGCAGCAGCTCAACGGCGCAGCGGCGCACGTCAACGGAGGCGGCTTCAGCGGCGCAACAGCGCAGCGGTGCAGCAGAAAAGCAGCGCAGCAGCGCAACAGCAGAGCGGCGCAAAGTCATCAGCGCAGCAGCGAGCAGCGCAGCAGCGCAACAGCGCAAAGCAGTTTAGCGACACAGATCGCCAACACGCTCCGCAAAACAACGCTATGTGTCGTTGCTGTTTTCACCTGGCTTTTCCAGAAGTCTGCAAGCCTATGTATAATACACATTTGGCTGTAGCCGTTACCAAAGAGACAGCAACAGCCTTTGGCCTTTGGTTCTTCCTCACGCAGGTGCTATTCCAGGGGTCAAGGGGTGAAGTTTTCCAGGGATTTAGGAAACTGCAAGGAAGCGGCTTGTGGAAGGGAGTCGTGTTGAATCGCCTTGAGCGCAGAGGTTTGCCTTTTCACATGTCGCTGAACACAGGGATCCAGGGTCGGCTACGCGCCGAGATGTGTTACGCCTTCAGGGCAAAGTTGAAGCACTATACTTTGATCCTGAAACGCCGTCCGCCACATGTTCCATGGTCAGCGCAGGCTGGCAGACCGGCCAAGCATGGGTCAGAAGGCCCTGTGTTCAGATATGCATTCCAGTGACGCTTGGGGCAGCAGCTTGCAATTGGCTCGTGCTTTGGCACACTGCCCAACATGCCACAGGATCTTTGTAGCAAGCACGCTGCTTGCTGCAGCGCATTTGTCACAATAATTTGCCATGCTACTCGGAAATGATTAAATGGCAACCACACGTTGTGGCTTCGCATGTTGGGCAACAGCCGCCCTCACCCCTTCGGTTGCTCGCCCTGTCATGTGGGGGAATGAGATGTGAAGGCACTGGTGTGCGCACACGTGGCTTCTCAGCCTGCCTTGAGGCTTTGTGTCGATCTTGGCATTAAGACTTGATGAACCTTGATAACATGTCGCGTATGGCACAAAAGCCGTTGTGCCCCCCCTGGGCCTTGTTTTTCAGCTTAAGTTGCTGATCCCAAATCAAATGACCGACGCATTCCAATCATTGGCAAGTGCTGAAGTGATTGCCGGAGTGTCGACCAGCACAGGGGCAGCTCCCATGGCAGATCCATTGTGCACAGCTGAAGGAATCACTTGTGCCCTCCCAAAGATGGGGCTGCTTCAAAATGAAAGTCAAACAAGGCATGATTGTTCTGTCGTTTGAACCAGTCGGCCCTACTCAGTTTGGCTAGGCTGAGGAGTCTTGAAGCAGCCCTGTCCGAAATTGGCGCAATTTGCCAATCGGCAAAGCTTCCCTTCTAGCGCACCGTGGCCAGTGCACCGTTGCAACAGGAGCGTACTGCGATGTATTTATCTGGAAGCTGATAGCGTGTATAACCATGATACAGATTAACGCCTAGGACATCGAAATAAGTTGAAGGAGGGCCTAGATTACAGGCAGCTGTCCAGTGCGCAACCAGGATGAAGGTCACCATACCAAGTGGCAGAGCCCTCAAAGATGCGATGCCAACTTAGAAGACTCAAGACGGAAACTGATAAAGCCGAATAAGCATGTCACCAAACTAATAAGGTGCTGCCATAAGCTTGTAAGTGAAGCATGGAGCTTTCCATTGAAATCGGCAGAATTTGAGGGCCGGAGTCACCGACATGACGCAGGAGCTGGTAGCAGCTGATCCAGCTGTGAAGCAGGAGGCGAGGGGTTGGAGCCACGTGGAGCCAGTGGGCTGTAAAATCATCCAATCCCCAGCGCCCCTCCCTTGAGAATTGTGCGTTTGTGTGTGTGTGTGTGTCTGTGTGTCTGTGTGTCTGTGTGTCTGTGTGTCTGTGTGTCTGTGTGTCTGTGTCTCTGTGTCTCTGTGTCTCTGTGTCTCTGTGTCTCTGTGTCTCTGTGTGTCTCTGTGTCTCTGTGTCTCTGTGTCTCTGTGTCTCTGTGTCTCTGTGTCTATGTGTCTCTGTGTCTCTGTGTCTCTGTGTCTCTGTGTCTCTGTGTCTCTGTGTCTCTGTGTCTCTGTGTCTCTGTGTCTCTGTGTCTCTGTGTCTCTGTGTCTCTGTGTCTGTGTCTCTGTGGCTCTGTGGCTCTGTGCGTTTGTGTGTCTGTGTGTTTTTGTCGGTGTGTTTGTGCGTCTGTGGGTGTGGGGGTGTGGGTGTGCGTGTGCGTGCTCGTGCACGTGAGCATGCGCGTGTGCGTGTGCGTGCGCGTGCGGTGCGCGTGATCGTTAAAGAGTTGCACTTGACGTGGGCTGCTATTGCTTTCCCATACACTCAGACAAAATGCATGTTATGCTTCACAATTGCTCCAGCTGGCATTTTGGAAATCTCTTTTGGCTAGTCAAGCTAATCGGAGCTTTTCGGACACTTGAACGGCTGTAGTCACTAAGCAGTCATGATGCAATGACGATTTGCGGCATGGGCAATTATCTATTCCGATTGCAAGCATAGTCTTTAACGTGCTCTCAAGCACCCCCCAAACTCGCGTCTGGGATGATAGTCCGCCCAATACAATTCTGATTGGTGTGCTTTGGGCCCACGTTATCCTGCGTTTTTGCAGCCGGCGGCTTGGTTCGGACGCACGGCTCAGCACTGCGTTGGGAATCGGGTGAATCCGTTCCGAAGGATGCCCCCCCCCCCCCCCATGTGATTCGTGTGTGTGTGTGTGTGTGGGTGCGTGCGTGCCTGCCTGCCTGCGTGCGTGCGTGCGTGCGTGCGTGCGTGCGTGCGTGCGTGCGTGCGCGAGTCTTGTTTAGGCCGACAGCTCAACAGGTCGGGGGCCTGAGGCTGTGGCTGGCAAATGGCAGCTCACAGCTGACAATCAGCCCAAGGATGATTTAGTAGGGAACATTGTTCATGAAAGACATCTGGAAGAGTCGATTTGTTCTTTGGAGCGTGGCAGCCTGCTCCCAGTTTGCACGCGGTATGCTATTTGGTATTTGATGGAGGTCAACTCCCCGGGTTTGTGACAAGTGAAGGGGGTCTTCAAACGGTTGGTTCTCAGAGGACAGCAACTGTGTTGGGGAACATTTTTGATCGCTCAACTTGGATGCAGATCCCTTTTTGTAGAGCGGCAGGGCTAGCGCAGACGCAACTCTTCCAGATGCAGCATGGCAGTGATTGCACGAGCTTCACAGAGCTCTGTGAATGATTCCATCGGCCTCCGACCATTGAACGGATTATCCTTGAAGAGTTTGGCCCAGCTGGTGCAGTTGGCTGGCAGATGAGCTTCTGACATGTCAATTGGAGGAAGGGGCTGAAAGCCTCGCTGATCTCTGAACGCCACACAAGGTAGTTTCGCTTCCGGCTTGAGAGGGTTTTTAGGTAATGTACATTACAAGTTTGGTATGGCCAACCACACTCGTAAGCTGTTCACTTGCAAGCCGTTCCGGCAGTTTGAGAGGGGAGCGGAGTGGCGCATGCCCGTGCCGAGGTGTTGGAGAGCTACCCATGTCTGAGTAGCAGTCCAAGTCGAGTATTTCTGGACTCAGCATCAAGCAAGCTGCTCGTTGTTTAGAACAAATATTCACCCTCCACATCAATCTGTGAGGTACCTGGAACCAATTTAGCCATTAACGTTTCACACGAGACGCACATTGATTTAGAATAGAAAATGCATCAGCAAGCAAGAACAAAGTTTTTTTAAGGGAGCCATGGCCACAATCCAATTTGTGTTTCTTCCACTAATTTGTCCGTGGCTTTCATGCCTGGTTTGGCGAGTAGGAGGCTCAGTCTCACTGTCGGTGTGTATGTGCTCTCTTTCATTAGCAAAAGGGCGTTGGTCTGGCCCAGGAGAGCTGAAGGGGCATGGATCTTGCAGAGGTTTAACATTTGAGCACTGCATTGAGTGTTTCCCGAGCAATTGCATGTGTATATACTGCGTTCCACTATATTAGTTTGTTTTTACAACTGTGCGGCTGCTTAGGCCTTAGAGGCCTTGCTTCATTTTATTCTTCTTTGATCTTCTCTTCTTGCTGTTTGTCAACGTTTGCATGTTTTTGTTTTTCATTTTCCCTTTATTCCTCTCTTCCGTAATTTATTTATTAGTTTGCTGTGTCTTTCTGTCTGTCTTGACTAATTTATTTCATGATTTCTTCATGTGTTTCTTTATTTCTTTCTTTATTTCTTTCTTTCTTTCTTTCTTTCTTTCTTTCTTTCTTTCTTTCTTTCTTATCAGTTGTTCCTTTGTTCCTTATTCCCGCCTTCCTTTCTTCCTTCGTTCCTCTTCTTTTGATCTTTACTTTTTATGTTCTTGCTTCCCTCTGTGTTTATTCATTTGTGCTTCCCTCTTTGTGTCTTTCTTTCCTTTTTTATTATTTCTTTCTTTCCTTCTGTCTTTTTGTCGTTCTTGCGTCCTCTCCCTCTTTCTCTCCTTCTTTTCTTCGTTCTTTGTTTCCTGTTTATCTGCTGAATCTCATTTTCTATATCTATATGAAGCTTCATAATCCAATCTAGTCTAGTGCTTTCTAATCTACTCTAATGTACTCCAATCAAGTCTAATCCAACTATCTATCTAACTATTTATGTAATTATGTAGCCATCTACCTATCTATCTCCCTATCTGTTTTAAGATATTTCTCTCTATCTACCTAGCGTATCTGTCTGTTTGTCTGTCTGTCTGTCTATCCATCCATCCATCCATCCATCTATCTATCTCTCTATCTATCTATCTATCTCGCTATCTATCTATGTATCTATCCATCCATCCATCCATCAATCCATTTACCTAGCTAGCTAGCTATCTATCTATCTATCTGTCTATCTACCTCTCTCTCTCTCTTCCTGTATCTACATATTTGCGTGTCTGTTTGTCTGTCTGTCTGTCCTGTCCTGTCTGTCTGTCTGTCTGTTTTGTCTGTCTGTCTGTCCTGTCTGTCTGTCCTGTCTGTCTGTCCTGTCTGTCTGTCTGTCCGTCCGTCCGTCTGTCCGTCTGTCCGTCCGTCCGTTTGTCTGTCTGTCTGTCTGTCTGTCCGTCTGTCTGTTTTTTTATCCGTCTATGTATATGGGTGTGTGTTTGTGTGCTTTTTACCTGTGTACAAAATTTGGAGAGGGTGGACGTGGGACCCCCGTGAACACCAACACACCACCACCACCACCACCACCATACTACTACTACTACTACCACTACTACTACTACTACTACTACTACTACTACTACTACTACTATTACGACGACTACTACGACGACTACTACTTCTACTACTACTACTACTACTACTACTACTTCTACTACTACTTCTACTGCTGCTGCTACTACTACTGCTACTACTGCTACTACTGCTACTACTGCTACTACTGCTACTACTGCTACTGCTATGCATTACACCCCAGATCAGGCCCAACCTTTCACTTTCATTTCTGCAACGCCAGACGCAGGCAAGTGCCAACATGGGCTTGGTTTCTTCTTGCGAATCAGTCCTCGAATCATACCCCCGCCGAATCAGACCCTGAAGCATATACTCCCACCAACAACTTCCAGGGCCGAGAACGTTATTTTGAGACAGATCCATATTACCGATATATCTTCTTACCTATGTATCTGTGCATCCAGCATTCACTCCGTCTATCTTCCCACCTGCCAACCATCTATCTAGCTCATCTCTCTCCTCCGTCAATCTATCCATCCTTCCATCTATCTTCCCACCTTGGCTATCTTAGCCATCTTATCTATACATTTTTTTTTCCATCTATCTATCTATCTGCTGCGCCTGCGGCGCAATCTGTACCTGACCTTGCAAAAGTGCTGCGCAGGACGCGGAATGTGAAAGCGCTGCGCGTGCCGCTGAATCTGAACCTGACCTTGCGAAAGTGCTCTGCCTGCCAGGAAATCTGCACTTAGCCTTGCGAAAGCTGCGCCTGCCGCGAAATCTGTACCGCGAAAGTGCTGCACCTGTCACGCAAACTAATGTTTCAAAAAGCGCGCGTGTCAATGGTCCCGGCTCCGAACGCGCTTCGAGATTGCTCCGTGACTGCTCCGAGATCGGATCGCTCCGACCCGGCATCGCGATCAGGCTATTTCTAGCATCCCAAAGCCCCGAAACCCGCAGAGGGTTGCACTTGTTTGACGTTTGCATTTTCTTGTCATTTGTTTTGTCTCAGAGAGCTGGCTTTCAATCAGTTGCCGTACCATGGAAGCTCCTCCTAAACTGCCCTTGATCCTAATATTTTGTTTTTGAGTGACCGGGAAAGAGCGAGGCATGTGTCGCAAAGCCTTCTTTAGGACATTTCATATCTCCGCCACTGCACCCTCAGTTGGCGTGCCTCACCGCCAATTCCCACCAATCCAAGCAGCATGACTCAAAGTCAACCAAAATCTCTGGGGAGGAGTAGCGGCCAAGCACCTATCCATTTTGGCTCAGCCAATTGAAGGGCCTTCAGCAAAGAGGTTGGCAACTTCAGTGTCGACTCTTGCGTTGACCCATTGGACTTTCGTTCCCATGTTTGATAAGGCTTTAGTCAGCCAACACACCTTCCATCACGGTCCCATCCAGTCACGGATCATGGTTAAGAAGTTACTTTTGGACCCAGGTATTCGTAGTAGCCACTTGTTTCATTGTGGATCCAAACGGTTTGTTTGGTTCAAGTCGCAATGGATGGACGTTGGTCCCATTCCCACTTTTGATTTGAACGAACTAGAACTGGGGAAATAATAGCGTTGCCATTCCCTCAATAGAACCCAACACAAAATAATTGTGAATATCTTGAACAAATGTATGTTTTCTTTGATTTAGCACATCTAGTTTTATTTAATTAAATATGTTCAACAATAGTTGGTATCCGCCCGGAATTGTTTGGGCTTGGCCTGCATGCCAGGCTGGAAAGTCTTGAGGTCAAGGCTTTCGGAAATCGAGATGCCACGCCCTTGAATCGGTTTTGCCCTGCGTTGACCAAGTGATTCGCCCCATTGAGAGTTTGCTGAGAATGGCACTTATGTGTCATGTGTGGCCATGTTCGGGCACTTGCTTGGTTTGAGTATGCTGACTTGCATTGCGACGGCAGCACATGCCAATGGGATAATGCAAACATGTCGTAACACTTAACAAGACACATACATATATTCATATATATAGCATACATACATATATCCATAGATATGCAATGGCTGTTTTTCAGCCAGAGTTGTCCCAATCAAAGTGCAGCAAGTCGTCCATTGATTGAAAGGGTGTCCCATTTTCGCACAGTGTTCTCAACACAGCTATTAGTAGGAGCCTCCCGAGATTGTTCCACATGGACTTCATACCTTGAATGCCTGTAAGCTCAGGCCCTACCATACAGAACCTGACAGCAGGGGTCACTTGAAACAAGATGACACCTGCAAATTCGGCCGAGACTGGCAGGCTGTTGAGTCAAGAGCGGGATTCCAAAGATTGAGTGGCCAAGGCCATGGAATCTGAGGGGGTGGGACTGTTCACAAACGCCCAGACGGCTGAGGCGCTGCATTCGACTAGGCTTCACCACGGGTGTAGTGTGCGCGCCCCAGATCTCAAATCCTGTGCGCGAGGGCGCGCGCCCAACACCCATCAACACCCTAAACCCTTGGCCTTGTGGCCGTTTGGCGTGCCGATTCGATTGCTCACTTTCTTGTCAAGTTAGCGTTGCAAATTTGCGTGTGACACTGTGTGAGACATTCACAGGGTGTTCTTATTTGTGCTTTTCACCCACAACCCATGTTGCATGTGCCCCGAAGCGAGCCCCGAAGCAAACACCAATTCGGAGCAAGGGTGTTTGTTGAACCCTAGCTCATTTTATGACCATAGGCACATGCAATCTCTTGCAACTGGTCATAGGTTCTCCCGGTGATCCCTTGCAATCAACCGCATCAACTGCAATCAACTGGCATCAACCGCATCAATTGCAGGGCGATCATCGTTGTTTTGGTTGATCCTGCTTCGCTGGACAAGACGGCCAATGGAGAGATCATTTTCTGAGTAGGATGAACTGGCATGCGGCTGCAGTAAACCAGCTTTTGGCCATCGCCCATCTGCCCAAAATGGAAACAGTTGGTGTGTTCTATTGAAAAGCGAAATCCTTGTAAGCCTTGCCTTTAAGTTTCATGGATGTTGGACATCTTGGAGAGAAGCCATCATAGCAGAGGTGTGATCTTTCTTTCCCAACAGCTGACGGCTCGGAGAGGTTATCATGAGCCCCTCCATTCTTTTCCCTGCAGAATCAGCATGTATTGTCCGGGATTTCTGAGAAAGCAGCTGGAAAGTGGCTCTGACTGGTTTGGCGGTCAGGATTGAAAATCAACTCTTGCATGAACTCCGCTGGCTTGTACTGTCAAACAGGCAGCAGGCAACGTATAGACAAGTTTGCATCATGAGGCAGTACCCGAATAGTAGGTACAGAAAAGAGGTTGAGATATGCTACCGGTAAGGCATGCCGACATCTCAGAGCAATATTCTTCTCCTGAACCGATTCAAACATGGACGCCTTCAAAGCACGTGCAAGTTGGCATGCGAGCCTTGCAGACTCCACCGAGCATGGCCTGTTCTCCGAACAAGGACGTTGTCAGTTTCTTTTTGAGGCAACATTGCCCAAAACCCTGCATCGCTGACTCATCGCCGCGTCACAGCCAAGGCTGTCCTTTCTGCAGGAGGGGCCGGAGGGGTCTGGGGCTGCATCGGAGAAGGGACAAGTCGCCATGTTTGAAACGGATGTATTTGGATTTGCTTCATTTCTGCCAAACCGGGGCCCCGGCCACACTGCTCTTCGCACGCAGTGTTCTTGCTCGGCCTTAATACATTTGCGGCATTCCAACGAGAAATGAGAGCAAGGAAGGTTTCAATCGAAAACAATTGGAAAATTATCGCAATTAGTTCAATTAAATGTGGAAACTCCCTTGCTGAATCTTGCTGATGGTCCAGTGCACACAGGCTTCGATTCAAAGTAACTATTCGGGCTTCTGATTCTGAAAGAAGCAGGGTTCTGAGGGAGGGCAAAGAAGGAAATGCTCTGAAAAGCCCACACGTCACCTGATCACCAGCCACAAATGTCAAGTTCCATGACTGTCTTCAAGGTTCCAATCCGCAGCCTCAGGCAGAGGTTTCGAGTGAGCCTTTGCGGCTTTTATCGCAAGGGACTTAAAGGCAGCGGCCGGGCACTGGTGGCGACGCTTCGTCAAAACCCATGGCTCCTGCCGAATCGAATTGCAACTTTGGGGACGGGCGTGAATCCACCCACAACACCGATGATATTGCATTGCACAGGGCTCCCCAAGTCAGTCTCTTTGTCAGGCTTCAGTAGTGAAGGACGCTGGATCAATGAACTTTAATGTTTGACCCGCATGAACTCACGTAGACACCATGTTTAGAGTAGAGTCATCGTAAAATCAGGAAAAGGCTGGTGCAACTAACTGCTGTGAGAATCTTCAATGATTGCTGTTTGGGTGTTCGTCCACAGCTTTGGTGGCCAGTGGTTTCTATCCACTGGCAAAGGCATGGCATGTCTGTGCGAGACTAAAGCTGGATGCAGTGGCACAATTTGCCTGCATGGGGCAAGGCTGCCTTCGCACTCGAAGCAAAAGTAAACACAAATTCTTGACCTTGCTTGCATCCATGCATGACCCATTCACAGAGCAAGACTTGGCACTTGAATACGGCGATTCCCTTGTGCGCCTTCTCCATGCCCGTGACCACACACACGACCAATGTTGAGCCAGCGTGTCTATTGGCATCAGTACAACAACGCAGAACACACAACTGGCGAGCCCGAGTGTAAGTGTCATTGATCACAATCCTGACAGCGAGGGTAGGACACCACCAGGACGTGGCGATGTTCCCAGCTTCATATTTTATCGTTACGTAGTTCTTTGTGCCTCCGAGGGCAGGGCTCACCAACATCTTCCAGGTCATCCAGGCACCCTGACGATTCGGACTGCTGCATCCAACAACTTCTTTTCAGAGGGGGTGGCACAATTCAGCCAGTTAGATGCATCATCCCTTCACGCATCCAGCCGGCATGAAGGAACCCGTGTATATGCGTTTACCCAGTTTGCAACTCCGGTCGGCAGAGCAGTCATGGTGGACAGTCAGGCTATTTCTGGTCGTCTCTTTTCGGGCGAGTTTGGCTGCTTAAAACACGCCATTGGTGGCCACCATGTTCCTCTCCGCCACCCATGCAAGAGACCGCACGTCGATCTGATGATCTCCAATGCTTCTGGATGTTTGTCATTCACATCAACTTTTGTCAGAGAATATGCAGGGATGAGGTCAAGGTGTTTGGCGGCCGTTCATTTAGCTTGACATGCGGTTGCGTGACACGCGTCAGCCGCAGCTTTCGGCTTACAAGGCCGTATCTTCGAAATGGTGCAATGGCCAGCCAGTCTTGTATCTGCACCTAGCACCTACATGTAGCGGCCGGAAACAATGTGTTGAGAGGCTACAATGTGTTGACATACCTAGATCTTCGTCTGAACGGGGGGCTCACAGCTTGTCCATGCACGCCTGCGCTGTAGACAATGGGGTTGCAATCTAAGTGCCCATCGCATACTGATGACTAGCTGAAAGTGATGGAACCCCACTCAGAGGACCGGGCCAAAGTACTGCTTCAAGATCTGGACGTTTCCCACTGTTCAAGAGGTTTTTTGCGGAAGGGACTAGACAGATCAATCCAATGCAAGTGGACGCAAGACGGTTCAAAACACATAGACAAAGGTAGCCACCCTTCCCGCTGATGTGTGTCCGTCCATGAAGGCCGTGCCAGTTGCTGACCTTGTGTGAGCCGGCATGGCTTGGGTTCTATTCCCACAAGTTGCCAAGTGAGCAGCAGCCGCGAACTTGTGTGAATGAGTGATCAGGCATTTCTTTATGTTGTTTTCCGGCTGTCACAAGTTCTCGTGGACGAGACCCATATGATTCAACTCACAGGGCTTCAAGTTGCGCGTGCACATTGTTGCGTCCTTCACATGGCAGAGTCAAACGCCATTGCTCTGCTTCTACACAGCGGCATCACGGAACGATGTCTTCTGTTTTCTTTGGCGTGTTTGAAATGTGTTTACGTGTAGTAGCTGCATCCCAACAAGGTCGCGGTCCTCAAAGGTTGCTTAAGCCTGCCTGAGCTGAGGTCAACATGGGTATAGAGCTCGATTCCAAAACATGACAGGGGAAACGGCAGGCAGCTGCTTCCTGCAGGCAAGTTTTCCCCGCGACCCTGCCCGCCCGTGCCCGCGCAAGGTGCCCACCATCAGCCTGAAGCAGGTGCTTCAGGCAGGAATTTAGCACAGAACCCCATCCAGCTTACCCATGGGCCGCCTTCGTGTGCCTTCACGGCTGCATTTGTGCTTGGATGTCGAGGGAATAGTTGAAGTGTTTTATCTTACATTGGGTGCGTGTTCCTGCCAGCGATGACCCCAGCATTTTGGTCGAGGCAATTTGAAACAAGGCCGCACGCGTACAAACTCCAGGTTTCCCAGGCACCGGCCAGAGTTTGTGAAGCAATTTACACCATCGTGCAGATGGCACTTGTTTAATTTTTTTTGAAGCCCCGTAAAGATGTCGTCCGGATATTTCTGGCCATTCTTGTTCGGTCTGGGTACGTTAGTGTGGCTTTGCGTCTTCATTCAATCTAGACTCAGTCAAGGGTCAGCTTCCTCAATCAGAATGCGATGCACTCGCAACTTGCGTCCATGTAAGAGCACTTCCACATGGAAGCGTGTCAAGAACTTAAGACCTCCTTAATGTGGTGTTGTTTGAACAGCCCGAGAGCGGTTTCTGGTTTGACAGCTCCAGTTTTTGCGCCAGGCCGAGGGGAATAGTGCTGAGGCCAGGCATGGACATCATGTGGGAGGCTTTGGCGTTGCTTGCACTGATTGGATCGGTACCTTAGGCACAACTCTGAGCAATGCAGGCAGCTTCAAATTTGCTTGTCAGCCAGTTGACCAACCTACTACAAAAGCACCGACCCACACACACACACACACACAGACACGACCGACCGACCGACCGACCGACCGACCAGCATGGTTGGTCCTACGTGCCGGTTCAGGGAATGACTTGGGCTTGCTTAGGCGAGGGCTGATTTGTTCCAGGTTTTGGAAACCACAGGTCAGCCAGCGCCTCATAATTTGTAGGCCAGTGTTTTGCCATGCTCAACAGTCCTTCTTCGACCATTTCATCGTTCACTTGATGCAGCCAGATATGTCAAGAGCAGTTCAGTGCATTGCTTATCCGAGAAACAGGGAGCGCACGGGATCCGTTCATCCGACGGATTGCACGAAATGTTTCGCTGGCCAGGCGGCACTGCCCGCGCAACTCGTGGCAGAGCAGCTGCGCAATGCCTGCCAAGAGGCGGGATGGAATCTGTGTGGCAAACAGGGCTGGGAAGGGGTTTGCACGCGGGAACCTCACCTATAAGTGAAGAACTAGTCTTTTGACGGCGTTCCGGTGGCATCACAGAAGCTAGCAAATCCCACCACCTTGGAGGTGAACGATTGGGGTTTAAACGGGACTGTCTCCAAATTGAGATGAGAATCATGACGAGGACCAACCTTGATGCCCTGTCTCAAAGAGAGAGGCATATGTAGATCTATCCAAAGAGGTTCCAACTGGTCGGAAGCATTCATACATCCAACGTACAAATCCAATTGACTTATCAATGCTGTGCGAGATGACATGTATACAGATCATCTTTACTTGCAAATCGCACTGGTTAGAACACATTTACTCCCATCACAACCTGGGCGACCAGCCATTTGGACGAGCTATTTTCCTCAGTGGTGCACATCCAATTGCCACCGTGATCAGTGCATCTCCTTTTGACCTTCCTTTCGGACGCCACTCCACCAGCAGGCACAGAATGTGACATAGGTTCAGCCTGTTCCCGACCACAGGGCAAAATGCAAGATTTGAGATCAGTTGGTGGCAGAGTGCTTGTGAAGGAGTTGGCTGCAAATGAGAGCCCACAATGCCTCATTCGCTAATCAGAGTTGACTTGGCAGCACTAGAGCCTCCAATCAGCCAAAGCCACAGTCCGGAAATGTCAAATCGCCACGGGACAGGCAACCAAACTTTGCAGCCCGCGAGGTCGGCTTCTTCGTCCTGTGCGACCACGGTGTTTCCGAGTCCTTGATGGAGAGCTGCTGCCCCAAGGTTGACGCTTGAGGAACTTACAGCATCTGCTAAATTAGGCCGACCCTTCCAGGAAAAAAGACACAAGTTATCACAAGTTATGCACCAGGCCACGACATGCTCCGAGGTGTTCGACTTCGATCGTGTCTCGTAGCAAACTGTATGTCAAGGGTCGGAGCGGGCCGAGGCTATCGAGAGGAATGCAGGGCCTTCTTCAAGCGCCCGCCGCAGTGCCATGTGCCATGCCGGCTGGATTGATCGCTGGGACTCAGGCACGCTTTTCGTAAATGTTTAAACCTCTGACCGCTGAAGCTCCGCTTGCTAGTTCAGGTTGGGTGCCTATGCAAATTGTGAAAGCATGTACACATATACATACATATATACTGTATATATATATATATATATACACCTTTTATATAGGAGCAAGGATATGCCGTAGACATACAATACTGCTCGCACACAATGTGTAGGACATGGATGGCGTTCTTGGTTTCGCTTCAATTTAACAGCCCCCGACAAAAAAGTGCTATCCAAAAAGACGCCCATAAACGATCGTGCCGTGGGTGTCTCTGTGGTGTCCTTGGCTTCACTTAAAATATACCCAAATTGGCAAAGTTTGCAGCTGTGCTGGACGTGTTTTGTGGATGATTGTTTCAAATGACCAGAAGCCAGGCAATCAGTAGTCAAAGTCACCTATAGCAGCTGTAGGCTCAAGTCCACATTTTGTTCTTCTACGCAAAGCTTTTATGGTGACCAGTTGCCTTGGCGTTGGAATGCCGCGTAATCTCAGTCCGGCAGAGTTCACATGTTCTCCAGGCTTGGCATGGTGAGCAAGAGCCGCTTCATTTGGCTGGACTATGTGCCTGAGCTGATATTAGCCGGAAGCGGTATTTTGTTGTATATGAAATCGTTGGTGTGCGTGAAGTGTACAACAGCAGCAATTTGCAGGTGAACTTTTGTTCGACTCCTTCGCAAGCTGCCTGTAGTTTACTTTATTCATTGACGATATCTGAACCTTTTTGCCACGTTTGCGCCTGATGTTACGTTGTTCATTGATGCAAGATGGCTTTATTGTTGAACAATGACTTGGCAGGCATTTGGAATTTGCCTTCGTGTGCCAAGTCCTTCCACAAGATTCCTGTAGCAGTGCAGGTCAGCACAGTGAGTTCTGCTTCTCCACCAGCTATACCATGAGATCCAGTACTTAGTCCTCATGTCACATCCATCGAATGTCTTTGTGGCGTGCGACTCGAGGTGCCAGCTGAGTGTGGCGAGCCTGCCAGGAACTTGGAGTATTGAAGCCGATGCACGCATACGCGCATGCTAGTTGCCTAGGAGTTTGAATTCCATCGAAGTGCATTAGCATCATTCTATTGGGATTTGGTTGTTGCCGGGAGAGCCATGAATTTCGCATGAATGACCTTGGAATCTGAGCGTTCTCTATAGAGGAACCCAAGCCGGACGACTCCTGGAATAATGGCTTGTAGGAAAAAGAGTAGTCAGAGTACTCGCATGCAAGAAAGAAGGTCAGCTGAAGAGCCAGCTATAATGGAAAGCAGAGCTCACTCATTAGGACCAGCCAATTTGCACTAGGCACCGTGGGTCGTTCTGATTGCATTGCATCCTCATGATTTGTTCACACTTTGTAGCACCTTCTCAAAATGAGCTTCTATCAACAATCTGAGCTAGAGTGATCTTCTGCTGGCCTGCGAGAGCGAGTCCATCGAACCAAGGCCTGGTCTTTGGGCCCAGTTGATGGCAGGGGCAGCATGCCCTGGCAACTGGACAGAG